AATTTGAGGTGCAACCTGGTGGCGTCGGTGGACCGAAACATGATATCCCAGAGATGTTCTATTGGATTTAGGTCATTGTGGGGGCCATTCAATGGTATCCGGTCCTTCAGCCTCCAGGAACTGCCTGCATACTCTCACCAGATGAGGCTGGGCATTTTCATGCACCAGGAGGAACCCAGGACCCACTGCACCAGCGTAGGGTCTGACAATGGGTCCAAGGATTTAATCCCGATACTTAATGGCAGTCAGGGTACCATTATCTAGCCTGTAGAGGCCTGAGCGTCCCTCCATGGATATGTCTCCCCAGACCATCACTGACCAACCACCAAAAAACGGTCATGCTGAATGATGTTACAGGCAGCATAACGTTCTCTATGGCTTCTCCAGACCCTTTCATGTCTGTCACATGTGCTCAGGATGAACCTGGTCTCATTGTGAAAAACACAGGGAGCCAGTGTCAGACCCTGACAATTCCGGTGTTCAATGGCAAATGCCAATCGAGCTCTATGGTGTCCGCAAAGAGCACAGGGCCCACTAGAGTACGTCGGGCCCTCAGGCCACCCTCATGAAGATGGTTTCTGATTGTTTGGGTCAGAGATATTCACACCAGTGGGCTGCTAGAGGTAATTTTGTAGGCCTCTGGCAGTGCTTATCCTGTTCCTCCTTGCACAAAAGAGCACATACCGGTCATGCTGATAGGTTAAGGACTTTCTACGGCTCTGTCCAGCTCTCCTAGAGTAACTGCCTGTCTCCTGGAATCTCCTCCATTCTCTTGAGACTGTGCTTGGAGACACAGCAAACCTTCTGGTAATGGCACGTACTGATGTGCCATCCTGGAGGAGTTGGACTGCCTGTACAATCTCTGTAGGGTCCAGGTATTGCCTCATGCTACCAGTAGCAACACTGACCCTAGCCAAATGCAAAACTAGTGAAAAACAGTCAGAAAAGAAGATGAAAATGGAAAAAAAAATATCAGTGCCCTCCACCTGTAAAACCATTGCGGTTTTGGGGGTCATCTCACTGTTGCCCATCTAGTGCACCTGTTAATTTCATTAACATCAAAGCAGCTGAAACTGATTAACAACCCCCCTCTGCTACTTAACTGATCAGATCAATATCCCAGGAGTTTAACTTGATGCTATATTCTTATTAAAAAAAAAGTGTTCCTTTAATTGTTTAGAGCAGTGTATATTAATTGGTTTGTGTGAAAGTTAGAGTATCTACAAACTACGGTATATATACTGGAATTTACGCAGCTTTTACTTTCTGACTGCCTATCACATCTCTTGAGGTGCTAAAATGCCACGGCAGTACAACCCCACCCCCACAAATTACCCTTTTTTGGAAAGTAGACACCCCAAGGAATTTTCTGAGAGGAATGTTGAGTTCATGGAACAGTCTATCTTTTGCCACACATTTTTGGAAAATGACAAAAAAAAATTTATTTTGTTTTTCTTTTTACACTAAGTTCTCACTTACAGTTGCAAACCCTTTTGTAACCCTTTCCAGCTTCATGCAATTCAACAATTCTTGATCGTAGGTCTTTTAAGGGCAGGACAGCTGTCAGCAACACATCCAATATCATCACACTGATTGGAGTCAAGGTTGGCTCACTCCTGGCTCCAATTAGCTCTGGGAGAAGTCATTAAGCAAGGGCCTCACATACTTTTTCCTCCCTGCACTGTGAATGTTTACATGTTATGTGCAATTAAACCATGGCAACATCTAATGTTTGTGTAGTATTATGTTCAGCAGACTGTGTTCTTCTATAGTTGTGACTTAAATGACGTTCAGAGCACATTTCATGCCCAATTCATGCAAAACTCCACGTAATCCCAATGGGTTCACATACTTTTTCTTGCAACTGTAAGTGATATATTGCCCACGAATACTATGGGTATATGTGGAATAAAACCCAAAACACATTCTGCTACTTCTCCAGAGTATAAGGATACCACATGTGAAAGACTTTTTGGCAGCCTAGACAGATACAGGCCCCCAAAATCCAATGACCACCTCCAAGCTTTCAAAAGGGCATATTTCCTCATATCACTTCCTCACTACCTATCACAGTTTCAGAGGCCCTAAAATAAATTCCAGGATAGTACAAACACCCTCCTCCCCAAATGACCACTTTTTGTAAAGTAGACACCGCAAGGAATTTGGTGGAGGCATGGTGAGTCTTTTATTCTTTTTCAAAACCTTGTAAAACCAATTGTTTGATAAAATATAAAAGAATGTTACGCCAAGTAAATGGATACCAAACATGACATGCTTTAAAATTGTCCACGTACCGACGCGTTGCGCCACGCCCACCTCGTGACTTCATCAGGGTCCCTGATGATCCTGATGAAGTCACGAGGTGGGCGTGGCGCAACGCGTCAGTACGTGGGGAGGAGCTTCCGGTGACGTCATTTCCGGCGTGGGGGCCATATTGGATCACCCTGTTGAGTACACCCATGCAGTACACCCATAGCATGTGGTAAAAAGCTGGAAAACCCGTGGGCAAATGTGAGTGTAATACTTATTGTTGTTTTAAATTTGATGCAATAAAAACCGGTTGCACTATGGAGGGTCTCTGCTTGTGTCTTATCATGATCCTGTGAGGAGTTCGCTGTTAGTCTGTTGGAGGCTGGAGACGTGAGGGGGGAAAGCCTGAGACAGACTCATTCTGATAGGATCACTTGATCCTCAAAGCGTGTTGACCCTGTGGGGTCTAATGAAGAAGGTGAGGGGGTATTTTGGCTGGTAAAGGATTGGCACGTGTGTACCACGTATACGGCACATTATATATTTTTGCACGAAGAGTGAAGTGTGAGGATCACCACAAATTATCGTATTACTATTATATCATTTTGGACTTTTTGAATTGATTATTTGTTCACTAATTTTGTGCACCAGTATACATATTGTTTCACAATGTGCAAATAGGAGTGTGTTTGTCACTTTTTTCACTAAATATTCCCCGTGAGGGAATTCACGTATGACACAACTATTTTATTATTTATGTATTGATTTATCACCTTGGATATATATATGTAGGGGATGTATATAGAGTTTGTGCATTTTAACACGTAATTGTTATTATTAGCGCTACACTATTTATTTTAATTGATCATTCACTTATTTGGGTATAAGTTTGGTGTCGGCAGCTTTTGAAGGATAGGATTCCATTTAAGTGCAGGAGGTTGTTTTTGAACAAAATGATGTATGCTGTCAGCCCACAACACTTAGAAGCTGAGAGCATTTATTACAGAACAGGTAATTTTCTGTAATTGAATAGTGTTTAACTGCCTCACGCCCGCCATATAAGGTAATGATGAGCACAAGGCGGTTCCTTTCGTTCTGGGAGGACGTCATATGACGTTCTCCCACTCTAACTGCACGTGCGAGCCCCCAGGGGCGCGCAGCGATCGGTGGTGTGCTGTGTCCCTGGGACACAGCGGATCACCAATCAACGGAAAGAGGCGAAGATGTCGGCTCTGTCATGTGATCAGCTGTGTCCAATCACAGCTGATCGCATGTAAATAAGGAAATGCTGGTTATCGGCATTCCTCTCCTCAAGAGCTGTCACGCTGACAGCTCGAGAGGAGAGCCGGTAATCACCATTTTTCAGAGGGGACATGTACACTGATCATCAGGGCACTGATGATCAGTGTGCCTTGATCATCAGGGCACTGATGATCAGTGTAGCCCCATCAGTGCCACCTGTCAGTGTCCAGCAATGCCACCTGTCAGTGCTCATTAATGCCACCTGCCAGTGCCCATCAGTGCCCATCAGTGCCACATATCAGTGCCTAAAAGTGCACATCAATGCCACATCAGTGCCCATCTGAGCTGCCTTTCAGTGCCAGTCAGTGCCACCTATCAGTGCCAGTCAGTGCCATATATGAGTGCTGCCTTTCAATTCCCATCAGTGATGCCTGTCAGTGTTCATCAGTGCCACCTACCAGTGCCTCCTCATCGGTGCCGATCAGTGCTGCCGATCAGTGCAGCATCATTAGTGCACATCAGTGAAGGAGGAAAATTCACTACTTTACAAAATTTTATTTAAAAAAAAAACTAAGAAAAAAGGGGGTTTTTTTTCCCTCACAATTTTCAGGTGTTTTTGGTTTGTTTAGCAAAAAATAAAAACCCAGAGGCGATTAAATACCACCAAAAGAAAGCTCTGTCTCCAAAAAATTATAACAATTTAATATGGGTACAGTGTTGCATGACTGCCCTGTAGGCAAGTGGTTAAAGGGATAAAACATGAAATGTGCAGGCAATGCAGAGATGTCCTACATGTGTTTTTTTATTATGATTATTATTATTTTGCACTGACATACACTAACACAAACTCACAAATATCTACAACTGTTCAAAAAAAAAATATATATATATACTAACATGTTCTACCTCGGAGCTACCCCCCACTCACGGTACTGTCTAATTTGCCTGCCTATTAATGGTAAGCAAGAATCCTGGAAACTGTCAGTGGAAACAGAGAAGTTTCACAGTGTGTTTCATGGTAATTAAAGGAGGCGTATGGCTGAATCTCTTATGACCATACTTCTCCTGTGGGTCACAGGACTGCACTTAGTTCTGCACTTCTGTGACCCAGATTCAGCCAACAGCAGGTTAAAGCCAGGTGTAGGGTGAGGTCACCGAACCAATCAAGGCTCTGCAAGGATGCAGACAATAATGTCAGAATACACCAAGATGCCGGACCAACAGCTGGCTCAGACTCTTAGAAGGCCGCTGAGAGCCTGAGCCAGCAGCTCTTGTCCCCTGGACAGCCTGGCATTCCAGTGAGCGCTGGAGAGGCAGAGTACATAGGGGTGACTGACAAGTCACCTCTCTGTTCTCAGAGCAGATTCGAGAACGGAGTGGTCTTTGATTCCTCTGTTCTCAGTGTAGAGCCAGCGGAGGACAGCTGCCAATCAAATCAATTCTACAGCCATCTAGGTGAGTATGAATGTTTGTTATTCCCATGCTTCTCATTTAAAGTGGAAACTTACCTTCCTTAACCGACTGAACGAAGACAGGGTTATCTCCACTGACAGTTAACCCAAAGCCATTCTCATCCCGTTGAATTATCACACACCGCTGTACCAAACCTGAAGAGAAGAAAAATAGAAAGATTATACAGAAGACAATATGCAATCTACTATCTGCTAAAAATAGGAAAATAAATGAGCACTATAAAATGTTAAAGTTGGAAAGGAATAGTTCGATATCAACAGGAGACCGGATATAAGATAGCTATTTAAATTCATGTTTTTGAAATACTAAAAGAAAAAAAGTTGTAGGTTAGATTTGACACAAAGGGAATAATTATACAAAACACTATACATGTTTTATATAAAAAAAAAACATGATGATCTCTTGATAGAAGCTGAAGCTCCTAGATATGAAGAAAGGAAAGATCAAGGACCAGTCACAAGAGACTTTACAGCCTGCTGGAAATCCATCCACAAACACCCAGCTCAGATGAGGGCCATAACCTTGGCAACTGTCACAAAAATGTTAAAACTAGATAACAATGTATGTCTTTACTGTGAAAAATGGGGTGTGGCAAAATACACAGTATGATCTCACCAAAGTCTGGAGACCAAACGAGAGAAGCACTGTGTTTAGTAGGGTATCCTATTGCATGCTCATGTAAGAGGCCTTTTAAGTGTGAAGAGATACAGCAGTGACAAAGCACAGAGGAGACCACTTTCTACTAGTAATGTCACTTTTATGCAGAAAAATTACCTCCTGCACAACGGTTTATGAAATGTTCAAGCTTATGTCATATTGGGGATACTCAGACTCCATTTTACCCTATGTAACTGATCATTATTACAATACAAATTTGAAGGACAACTTGACTACAAAGGGGCTGGTGCAATGGAGAGGTAAGTGCACTGTAAACAAACCAGGGCTTGACAAATTTGCTTTGAATCTAGGAGCCAGCTAAATAAGTTAAGAACCATTTTTTCTTATCGTAGCGTGGGTTGTCAACGCTCGGGGCAAGGGAAATGATTTGAGCCCCCTAACCTTAACTTACTTACAGCACAGTGGCCAGCCAAAAACCCAGATGTTAACACTGGAGAGAATGACAAAAACCTGTTATAGAGGGAAAACCCATTAATATGCCACTTACATTGCGACTGTGGCATGCAAATCACCCTCATCTGCTTGTCTATCGCAACTTAAGTGTGGCCGTTGGTGGGTGGCAAAACCGTGGCTTTATCAAACATTTTTTACCAACCCCCTCAACTTGACATCTAAATGAAGCCTTAGTGACACTTTAAATAAAATACTAAAAAGAATGATAGTATCCCAGTGCTGCTGACCTTCTGCAGCCTCCCTGCAGCCAATTCCTGCCTACATGTGTGTCCCCCATGGTGACTCACCATGAAATACTGCAGTCCAGCTGTAAATAAAAAGAGTGGCAATGGTTGATGGTACACAGGGCTTTATCAAGGCACTTAGAAGGACTCTTCAAAAACATATCCACCTGCCTATTCCCACAATGACTTTCCAGACATAACACAATTGGAGCCAGAAAGAGCTCAGACTTGGCCAGGAGGACTCATCTCCCCTCCTCCTCCACCTCACAGCAGACTGTAAACTTGCAAAGGGGTGCCAGCTCGGCATGTCACAGCGCAGACACAAGAAGCATCATAGAGTTAATCTGCCTGCCCCCGGGACACGGCTCCGTACCACCCTGAATAATGTGCAGGCTGTCACAGTGGATCCGTCCTCAGACAACACGCCACCTGCTGGTGACACAGGGCACGGCGTACTCCCCAGAGAACACAATCAGTGTGGGGGAATCAGGACTGTGTCAGAGATCTTTTTCTACACCCCCAGAAGGAACTATGAATGGGCTGACAAATGTCCAGGTGCCAGGATGCATTTCTAGGAATGGGCTGACAAATGACCAGGTGCCAGGATGCATTTCTAGTCATCACGGCGACCTGGCCCTGGGATTTGTCAAGTCTTGAAACAAACCAATGACTTTCAAACCTTTGATACAGAGTCCTAGTCTAAGAATTTCTGGAGTCCGGTATCTTGCAGCTTCCTGTGCCTATATTGTACATTTTCAAAACCTACAGGTGCAGCCAGTTGGAGATACTTGATGATGGGACTTAAAAGATAAGTTCACCTTTTAAAGGAATTTGTCAGTCAAAGATCCCCAGCAGGGTACAATATACAGTGCAAGTTTGAAAAATATTGCTTAAGCGATTGTAAGGGTTAATGGTTTGTTTTTGGTTTTTTTTTAACAACACATATTATACTCACCTGCTCACTAGTTTTGCAGAGTGACCCCAAATCTCCTCCTATGGGGTTCTTCACTGGTCCTCCTTCCAAGTGCCTCATTAGCAAGCCACTTGCTATGGGGCCACTCATGCGGGCGAGCTGCGGGGTTGGGCGGTGTGTGTTCATTGACACACACAGCGCCACTCCTTCCTCACAGTTGTTGTTTGACAGCAGCAAGAGCCAATGACTCCTGTTGCGGTCTCTGAGCCTGTGAGGAGAGAGAGCGCAACACTGCTGCTCTTGGGCATGGGGATGGATCAAGATTGAGCTCAAGTAAGTATTGGGAAGGAGCAGCTTTTAAAAGATTTTTTTTTTTATCTTAATGCAGAAAATGCATGAAGGTAACAACCTGCTGCCTTTAGAACCACTTTAATGTAAATGCAATATTTGTAGGCTTTTTGCAGAATCCAGAGCCTGGCTGAAAAACTCCTATATTGTTTGAATTTCTCCTCCCTGCCTAGTTGTCAAGAAGCTTTAATGAGGGCTTGACACCCAACATTACAAGAGCGAAAGTGCAAAAGACCAATATAGGTACAGGGATGTTGAATTTATATCGCCCGACGCCCTGGACATGTAGTTACGGGAGCCGGGCAGGTCATTTTTTTTTTAATCGTTTAGCCCTGCTGCGGGCAAGCAGCAGGACTCACCTGTCAGGTGGAAGCATTAAGGTGGCAGCACTACCGCCGATTGCATCCACACAGTGCCAAACTCCGCCCACTGTCTAAATATTCAGGGGAACACAGGGAAGACTGTACTACATTACATTCAGGGGAACACAGGGGAGACATCCAGGGTCTTTTAGTCCCTGGATGTCTCAAAGAGAATCTGTCACCAAAAATCAGCATAAAAAAAATATTTAAAAATGTAACAATTTTTTTTTTAATTGTAAAACACCAAAGTAACACCTGAGCACATAAAATCCCCTGCACCCCCAAAAAACTGAGGCCGCCCCACATATACGCATGTACATTCTGGGGGCCTACGCACGAAAACGTTGATTGCGATACACGTTACATATCACCACACATGCTAGAATGACAGCAATAATTCTAGCACCAGACCTCCTCTGTAACACTATGCTGATGATCTATAGGGCAGAGATGTCAAACTGGTGGCCCTCCAGTTGTTGCCAAACTACAAGTCCCATGAGGCATTGCAAGATTGACAGTTACAAGCATGGCACATCTTGACTTGGCAATATTTGCCCACTCTTCCTTGCAAAAACACTCAAAATCTGTCAGATTGCAAGGGTATCTCCTGTGCACAGCCCTCTTCAGATCACCCCACAGAATTTTGATTGGATTCAGGTCTGGGCTCTGGTTGGTACAGTCCAAAACCTTAATCTTTTTCTAGTGAAGTCATTCCTTTGTTGATTTGGATGTATGCTTTGGGTCGTTATGCTGAAAAATTAAGTTCCTCTTCATGTTCAGCTTTCTAGCAGAAGCCTGAAGGTTTTGTGCCAATATTGACTGGTATTTGGAACGGTTCATAATTCCCTCTACCTTGACTAAGGCCCCAGTTCCAGCTGAAGAAAAACAGCCCCAAAGCATAAAATATGCCACCACCATGCTTCACTGTGGGTATGATGTTCTTTTGGTGATGTGCAGTTGTTTTTGCACCAAACATATCTTTTGGAATTATGGACAAAAAGTTCAACCTTGGTTTCATCAGACCATAACACATTTTCCCACATGCTTTTGGGAGACTTCAGATGTGTTTTTGCAAAATTTAGCCAGGCTTGGATGTTTTTCTTTGTAAAAAAAAAGGCGTCCATCTTGCCACTCTACCCCACAGCCCAGACATATGAAGAATACGGGAGATTGCTGTCACATGTACCACACAGTCAGTACTTGTCAGATACTCCTGCAGCTCCTTTAATGTTGCTGTAGGCCTCTTGGCAGCCTCACAGACCAGTTTTCTTCTTGTGTTTTCATCAATTTTGGAGGGACGTCCAGTTCTTGGTAATGTCACTGTTGAACCATATTTTCTCCACTTGATGACTGTCTTCATTGTGTTCCTTGGTATATCTAAGGCCTTGGAAATTCTTTTGTACCCTTCTCCTGACTAATACCTTTTAACAATGAGATCCCTCTGATGCTTTGGAAGCTCTCTGAGGATCATGGCTTTTGCTGTAGGATGCGACTAGGAAAGACCTAGACCTACTAGAACAGCTGAACTTTATTTGGGGTTAATCAAAGGCACTTTAAATGATGGCAGGTGTGTAGTGACTCCTATTTAACATGCTTTTGAATGTGATTGCTTAATTCTGAACACAGCTACATCTCCAGTTATAAGAGGGTGTGCACACTTCTGCAACCACATTATTTTAGTATTTTATGTTTAGTCCCCCACCCGACCTTAAAGATTTCAGCTTGTTTTTCAATTGAGTTGTACAGTTTTATAGGTCACATTAAAAGGTGGAAACATTTCTGAAATGATTTCGCTTTGTCTCATTTTTCTACATCACAGAAACCTGACATTTTAACAGGGGTGTGTAGACTTTTTATATCCACTGCATACACTATATTGGCCAAATTATTGGGAGGCCTGCCTTTACACGCACATGAACTTTAATGGCATCCCAGTCTTAGTCTATAGGGTTTAATATTGAGTTGGCCAACCCTTTGCAGCTATAACAGCTTCAACTCTTCTGGGAAGGCTGTCCACAAGGTTTAGCAGTATGTCTATGGGAATGTTTGACTATTCTTCCAGAAGCACATTTGTAAGATCAGGCACTGATGTCAGATGAGAAGGCCTGGCTCGCAGTCTCTGCTCTCAATCATCTCAAAGGTGTTCTATTTCATCA